AAAAATATTGCAAGAGAAAGAGGTTGGAAAGATAGAAAAGAAAATCAGTGTAAATGGAAATTTAAAGGGGTCACTGTAAAAATGAAATGGGATCTGCTGAAAGTTAACGGAATTATACTGGAAAAAATTTACCACACTTTCAAGGAACGGAAACATAGAGACATGGTGCTACAAGGAAAAAGGATACGGATATTTAGAAGGAGAGGGAAGATCTATGGAAAACTATATAATAAGTTGTGACAGATATTTGATCAGATGGAATTTGACTATGGAAAGTCTGTTAAAGAGTTACGGGGGTGGGTGAAGGAAAGGTGAACATAAATATAATCAACTTAAGAATAATAATTAGGAATGGGTCTAAAGTTTGAATGATTATAGAATGTAGAAACAAGTTTGGGTAGAAGTATTGTGCTTTGGAAAGTTGTTTAAAAGTTATAATGATGCAGGATGTAAGGGTTAGAAATAAACTAGGGAATGTTAATTGTAAAACAGTAGGAAGTATCTTAGATATAAAGGGGATGAATAGTAAAATTGTAAAGACATTTTTTGGAAATGGTAAAATTATTTTAAAAAAACTCATAGCTTATTGGAGGATTTGTGATGTATTATAGCACTAGAGGTAATGAGAATAGTTAGCTGATCCCTGAGTAATGGATGGTTTAAGATGCCTGAAATTTGGTATGGAAGTAGATAAGGATAGTGATTGGGAAGGCCATATGTAGAGATTAACACTCAGCTATTGATTAAAGCTCTCACATTCCCATTTTTCTTTGGGACAATAAAAAAGGCAGAATAACACCCCCCAGGCCTCTTGGTACTTCAGAACAGGTTATATCGCCCCTGTCACCAAGAGATGTTGTATAGCATTGAGGAGAAGAAGGTGCTTCCGGGGGCATCTGTTCTTTGGCACCTGTACAAATCTGTTGGGAGGAACCTTCCAGAGTTCTAGATAGTAGCCTCTTTTCCAGTGTCCAGGAATCACTTGTCATCTATGGTCGATTCCCAGTTAGATGCAAACCTTTAAAGCTGGCCTCCTATCTTTTTGAGTCCTGGGGCCCTGCCATAGTCATGCTGATGAGCTCTTTTGGGGGCCTTTGGGGTTCTGTCCTGAAGTCCGGGGGAAGGAGGCCCTTTTGCCCCCTGACTGCTTGGGATGTCATCTTCCCTTGGAGGGTCTGGACGCTCAAAAACTTGAAGCACAATTGGGTTTCCAAAAGGACTGGAAGCAGTTATTTGTTTTGACTTCTCTCCTGTGGGAGGGCAGCCTTTTCTTCTTATCCTTATTTTCTTCTTACCAAATACTGGTCCATCCCTTCCACAAAGAGCTGAACGCCCTTAGAGGGTATGCTAGCCACCTTTGCCTGAGCAGAGGGATCCACTTCCCAGCAGCAAAGTCATGTATTTCTCCTGGCGGTGATGTTCACTGCCATGGCCCTGGCAGATAGTTGAATGGCGTCTAAGGACGTGTCAGCTGCAAAGGCAATCTTCTTCAGGTCATCCTTTATCCCCTTAGGGGTGTCACTGTTGGCCGATGGGAGGTCTGAAGCCCATGAGTAAATAGCCCTGGCGGAGAGGGAGAATACGGTTTATGCCCTCAGGGAGGTCGAGGAGACCTTGAAATCTTTCTGCAGGGACTGCTGAGTTCTCCTTTCACGTGAATCCCTAGGCAATCTGTCTGCATCTGTGGGCAGAACTGAAATGGAACACAAGCTAGCCACTGGATCGTCCACCAATGAAAGCTTGAAGTGCTCTACAGCCTCTGGCACCAGAGAATAGAACTTCACAATAACAGGGTGATTTGATTTTGTCTTGGCTGGGGCTTCCCACTCAGTCCACACCACCCTATCAAATATGGCCGGGAAAGGAATCCCAAGGGGGAATGACCCCTTCAGTGAAAAAGCCCTGGCAGAGCCTGTTGGATTCTTGGGGTCAGGTATTTCTGCCTCCTGTCTGCTCACCAGGATTTCAAGAATGTGTGGGACCTTTGGAAGGATATTGTGGAAGACCTCCTGCAGGAAAAGGCAATTCTGCATGATGGTGACTATTGACTCCTCCTCATCAGACATCTCCCCCTCCTCCTTGCATGAGGAAAAACTGGAGTAGAGTCCTGCCTCTTTCCCCAGAAGCAGGCTTCCTGGGCCTTTCTTGCAGGTGCCTGGAACACACCGCAGGGGAAGGGGGTTTGGAAACCCTTCCCACTTCCAAAAGAGTCTCCCAACGGCTGATAAAGGCTGCCTGAACAGGGGCCTACCCGCAGCCGATCCAATGTGGAAGGCTTGCTGGAAGGTGAAAATGGGGGGGGGGGGGGGGGGGGGGAAGAAGTTGAAATCAAAAGGGTGAAATAGAAAATGAGAATCACCACGCTTTATAGTGGACCTTGCCTGTCTATAAAGAGGAGCTTCTCCCAGATGTTCAAACTGCCCCACCCCAGGATCACTGGAGAAGAAATAATGCACAGTTTGCTCACCTGTCAATATATTTCCATCTTCAGATCAACTGAAACTAATTCCAGTTTGTTTGAATACAAAAAAGTTGAAAGAAGCTTCTTCATAAAATAATCCATACATAATAAAATAAAAGAATGCTATCTCATACAAGTTCATTTTATTCTGTTTTATTATTAACAACTATCAGCCAATAAACATGTTGTTGTAAGCAGGTACCTACTATGTAATTTTTCCTTTTTTTTTTGGATAAGATATTATTAGGTCCAGAGGTTAAAATGATACGGAAGGTATATTCTTTGTTGTTAGATGGTAGGATGACTGATAAGTATAACAGGACGTTGAAGACTGCGTGGTCCAGCAATATAGGAAAGAATATTGATTCAGATAAATGGGAGGGGATATGGCAGAATGTGAGATGGCTTAAGGCCGTACCATTAAAAGAAAATGTTTTAAAGGTATGTCATCGCTGGCATTGGGCACCTGATAGGTTAGCTCGCTTCTATCCAGGAGTTAGTAATGTGTGCTGGAAGTGTAAATCTCATGTAGGATCCTTTTATCGTGTATGGTGGACCTGTAACGTGGTAAAAAGATATGATAATATCTAATATGATAATATCTAATATGATAATAACGCAATAATAATATGATAATAACGCAGTCAACGAAGTTACAGGTACCACTTGATCCTGAAATATTTCTATTAACTATACTACCGGAAAAATGGAAAAAGGATGAAAATGACTCACTTATTGGCAGCAGCGAGAATAGTTTTAGCCAGATACTGGAAGAATGAAAATATACCAGACAGATGGGATTTCATTAACAAAGTCATCAAGGTGATTGAAATGGATAACTTAACACATAAAATTCATGGAAATATGAATTCAGTTTTTCAAAAAAATTGGTCAAATGTATATGATTGGATTGAAATGAATATTTAAGCAACTTAAATATTTTGGAAAAATGTTAAATTAGTCTATTTAGTTTATGCTTAAGAAGGTACAGAGGATGGATCTGTTTTAAACGTGGTAGCCAGACCACACGTTGTATGTTTGTTATGTTGTGTGTAGTTATAGTTGTGTATAATAAATAAAAAAAAATTGCTTTTGTTTAACATGTCATGTTATGTTCACGGTCTGCCAAATATATTGATTTATTCTACGTGATGCGCCTTGAGTCCCAGTGTGACAGGTGGACTAGAAATAATATAAATAAATATTGTCATTTAACATTTTAGAAAACCAATTTTTGTGCAATATCATGTGGTAAAAAAAACCAGGTTGCTTACCAGTAACTGGTGATCTTCGAGTGGTCATCTGTGCATTCACACCAATGGGATCTAGTGCGCCTGCGCTGGATCTGCCGGTGCCTAGCAAGCTCTCTTAAAAGGATTTTCGTGCCTGGCCCATTGGTGTGAAGCACAGAGACCACGAAGAAGATCAAGTAATTCAACTACATTATCTTCAATAAATTTTAGTATTTGTTGGGTGACACTTCTTTAAATACCATGCCTTGAAAATGAAGACAGCAGTCCTCCATGCAGTTATTTATATGTATGTCCACTGACAAAGAAGTGCAGTACAGGACTAAGACTGCAGTCTTACGATCACTGACCTACGGCTAAAGTTCTGTGTAAACTTGAGTATGACTGCAAATACAGCCTCATTTTACAATTTTAATCCACTGTGTGGAGTATTAGTCTGGAAGTGCAAGAACCCTCAGAATTTAAAACTGATGTAGGCTTCCGCAGTTTGATTACAGTTTGTCAAATAGTCAGCTATGCTGATCACAACTTGTGGACAACTTGTGAACCAAATTGCTGGTGATTGAATATCTCTGATGATGTACTTGGAAGTGCTCTAAACACTGAAAGGCATTATGTTATGATTACTAATCCCAGTGACCATGGCGCTTGGAGCCCAATATCTTCACAAAGCGTTGTTTTACAGTGTTGCATTGTTCTACCATTTTAACAAAAGTTTCTTGAATTGATACTTGAATTGAAAAGCAGCATATAAAATCTAATCAAAGGAACTAAGCATGCTTACATAAGTCACTGGAATGCCTCTTTAGTTTCCATGTTTGTATGCCAAATACCAAAGGAGGCTAGACTGTGATCATAAAAATAACAATACTGCACACAGGTGTTTAGACCAAGGGAAAATCTATGCAGACTACAGAACCCAATATTCAACTCTGGCACACAATATTAGTTTTAGTATTATGATTATCTTTCTTCTCCCTAGCATGTCTTTTTAGATACTGCAGAGTTCAGGGAGGAGTATACAGAGAATATGTGCTACGACTGGACGACTTTCCTATTTAAATCTGCAAAATAGATACGGAATTGCACAATAGGCAGATAGCTGTTTATACTAAGTGACAAGATGGATTCACAAAAAGACGATTTCAGATATCTATCCATACAATGCATACCAAAACAGGTTTTCTAAATGGCTGAATGAAGCATTTACATTAGAATGGTGGCTGTTGGAAGTGGCAAATGTATGGAATATTATCAATATTAATTCTAAAAAGGTAAAGAACACATACCTGGGCACACTACCTGTCAAACTTCTCTCACTTGATGTTGCTGATATAGGGCTGTCTTCTATCGTCATATTTAGTGTCTCTTCTGCACCACTCGGAGTTTTCTTTCGTTCTCCTGCTTTATTTTTTTCACTGTCACTATCATCACTACCTTCTCCTAATATGTCATCAACCTGCCAAGCAAGCAAGAGTTACAAGCAACACAATGGTTCAATGTAGCAGTCATTTGTAATGTTAATTTAAATATGAATGTCCTTTAAAACTGAATAGCTTTTAAACTGAAGTATTTAAGACATTATTATCAACAACATGTTAAATATTTTTATTACTTCTTATCCTAGCTTTCTTCCACACATCCCTGGAGAGCATAAAAAAGAACATTTCATGGAGAACAATTTTATTCTGAAGCTCCTTAGGCTTGGCCAGAGTGGCTTGCAATACAGAATAAAAACAATCAAAGAAATATCACAATATTTTTAAAAGAAAAAAAAAACCCTCAGTGGAAGGAATTTGAGGAATCACAGGTGAGAAGCAAAAACTGGAAACTCCAATCCCCCCCCCTTAGCATGATTCTATATAATGTCAGGGGCTTCAGCAGGTTAACTTTTCCTCTTTCCATTAACTGGCTCAACTATTCTCAACATCCCATGCCCCCTAGAGCATCTTCAAACTGTTTTGAGATTCTTCTTCCCTCTCTTTTGGTTAGTTTATGAAGTAACATTTTTCTACAAACTGGAAAGTTTCCCAAGTATATTGAAACCCCTTATGTTGCGGGTGGCCAGGTTTTTGTTGTTTTCATGATTATAACAGTGGCTGGCCATTTTACTATTGGAAGGAATTATACGAAAAGGCAACAGAAATATAGATGATAAAAACTCAGTATCAACTGCCACAGATAAATCGCTTTAACATATGTTATCTTGACAAATTAAAATGCTAGAATATATTAATCAACTTTGTATTTTTATTTATTTATTGGATTTATACCCCGCTCTCCCAACTGAAGCAAAGAAAAGCAGTGCTTTTACAAATGTGGTTTAATCAAGGTATTGGAAAGCAGGGATTAATGCTATTTCATACACTAGGAAGCTATAATATAAATCTATAGAATAAGAGTATTTGAATTTCAATTAATGCCTTTAGTATTTTTTATGCAAAATCTGTTAATCTGTTAAAATCAAGCTTTTCTGATAAGATACATGAACTTGAATCCTGAGCACTGTGAATGCAGCAAGTTCACAAAAGAGGGTCTTGATGCCTTCCCCTTCTTGCTGTAGTTCTCTCCACTCGCCCCCCCCTCAAGCCATTCAGGAAGAGTGTGCAATGTGGCAGAGAGAACTATGACAAGAAAGAGGAACTGATTCTATGAACTGAGTTTAAGCTTCTGCAAGAACATGTGTGGGGAGGATTTGTATCCATTTCCCTTTCCTGATGGACCACCTGGTCAAGCATTCCATGTCATTCCCAAGGGGTTCTCAACCCTTAGGAGTGGCTTTTGCAGGGAGAATAGGGCTGCTGCAAAAGGGAGAGAGATTCTGTCTGTAAGCTTGCTCTGTACTTATAATCCTCCTCCCCATGGAAAGTAAAACTGATGAGAAACATTAGTTAATAATCAGATGGTCCTATCCATATTATTGTGGGTTTTCATTAAATAATTACAGAACATCTGTAATAATTACAGAACTATCTGTTCTATCAGAATAATTACAGAACTATCTGTTACAACAACAACAAGAACAAATCTATTCACAGCAAGAACTATGTTATTGGGTGGCCGGTCTGACTCCAAACTGGAAAATCTGAGCCAGGCATTACAAGCTGTGGCTGGTTGGCTTAAACCAGGGGTGGCCAAAATGTGGCTCGGGAACCGCATGCGGCTCTTTCACACATATTGTGTGGCTCCCGGCAGGGCAGCTGGGGAAGCTAAATATCATTAGCAAACAAATATAATTGGACAAATAAATATCTTTCTCAATATCTGCTTTTACTGCTTTTGTTATTTTTGGCAGTCTCATTTAATGTTAATAAAAAGGAAATTTGCATATTTACCAGTAAAAATGTGTAATATTTGTTCATGTCTTGCGGCTCTCAAACATTTGGTGTTTATTCTATATGGCTCTTACATCAAGTAAGTTTGGCCACCCCTGGCTTAGACTGAGCAGGCTGAATCTGATGAAGACGGAGGTCCTATGTCTGAGTCGGGGCGGACCGATGGGAGGGATCCCGCTCCCGACTTTTAATAACAGATCAAGTCAGTTGCCGGAAGGACAGTTAAAAGAAGATCAAAGAACCAACTATGAGAAGAGTGGACTGAGTAATCATAGCCATCAGGAATTAATGCTACTAGCACTTTATTGAGTTGTATAGTTTAATGATTTTAAGAATTGTTTAATCTAACTTGATTTATGTTTTATTGTAAATTTTGCACGGTTTTTATGTAAGCTGCCCTGAGCCAGCCTTGCTGGGGGGTGGGGGTAAAAATCCAATAAATAAATAAAATAAACATAAATACTGAAGAATCATCAACTGGAACTCTTAATTATTCCTAAAACCTCAAGGTTACAGAAAATGTGTCAAGAAGAGGGGAGGGGAGGGGAAGGAGGGACACTAAGCATGTTTGGAGCACAGAAGCTAGGAAACAGTTATACTTTGTTTCATTTCATCTTGAGGCTGAACGCAGAGATAAAGCTGGCAAAGTCATTTAAAAAGTTTATCTTTTACCACTTCTAAAGCATCCTTTTCTTTCAAGTTGAAAGAATGCTTGAAATGAGATAGTAAGAAAGGTTTAAAGAGCCTTTATTTTGTATTTGGAGAGCAAATTAACACAGCAATGTAATACTGAATTTATCTAAACTAGTACCCATACAGGTTGCAAGCATATCAGTAAGCCCCACGAAGCCATCTCTCTCTCTCTCTCTCTCTCTCTCTCTCTCTCTCTCTCTCTCTCTCTCTCTCTCTCTCTCTCTCTCTCTCTCTCTCTCTCTCTCTCTCTCTCTCTCTCTCTCTCTCTCACACACACACACACACACACACACACACAAACACACACACGATTTGGGCTACTGAAACTGATACTTGCTGGCAAAAATTATCAGCAATATAACTATATAGCTGAGAAAGAAATCTGCTTAATTATGTTTCAGAGAAACAATCTTATAAATATAATTCTTTTGACGTGTTGGCCATTTCCAGCTCTCCCACTGGCTGTGCTGTGTGCTCCATCAGCCACTGGCCCATCAACCGCCACTCAAGAGTAATCACATGCTATTGGCTGGGTGCTTGGTCTGCTCCTCTTCCCCACTCACTGCCACCTCAACCACTGTTCCCTGTCAGAATCACTGCCAAACGGCTGTCTCTCTTACGAAGCCACTTCTCTTGCTTGGCTTCTGTAGGACTAACTTTTCCCTCAGTGGCTGTTGCTAGGCAACCAAGCTTGGTTCTGTCAGTAAAAAGACAAAGGAATGAAGCCCTTTTCAGCCCTTTGTGGGGAACTGATTGGGACTACTCCTGAATAGGATTCCCAGCTCCAGTTTGGGAAATTCCTGGAGATTTTGTGCTGAAGTCTATGGAAGCGAGGGCGGTCTCTCCTGCTTGGCTCTGCCATGGCTGGCTGGCTACTGAGGTTGGCCAGCAGCCGTCAAACTATTCTCTTCAACCCCCCGCTGTGAGGATGATGTTCCCCTAAGGTTGCCATTGTTACAATTGATCTCCACATGACAGAGATCAGTTCCTCTGGAGAAAATGGCTGCTTTGAAGGGTAAACAATACAGCATTATATCCTGCTGAGTCCTTCCCCTCCCCAAACGCTGCCCTCCATAGGACCCCCCCCCAAAAAATCTCAGAGCTGGCAACCCTACTTTCCCCTCAGTGCCTGTTACTAGGCAACCAAGCTTGGATCTGTCAGTAAAAGGCATGGGGAAAGACCCTTTCTACGCCTATTTTGGCCTTTGAGAGAAAACTCATTGGGGCCAGTCCTGACTAGGGTTGCCAGCTCTAGGTTGGGAAATTCCTGGAGATTTTATGGTAGGGTCTACGGAAGCCAGAGTTTAGGGAGGGGATTGGCCTCAGCTGAACAGAATGTCATAGAGCCCAACCTCCAAAGCAGTTATTTTTTCCAGGGGGAGAGAGAGAGATCTGTTGTCTGGAGTTCAGTTGTGATACCAGGCAATACCACAGCCAATCTGGTCCGCTTCAGAGCATGGTCTGCCAGACCCAGGTTCTTGCTGTGGAAGTGGAGTGGGTGATTTCAGACCACTCACAGACTTTCAGCCTAACCTACCTCACAGGATTGTTGTGCAAGTGAAAAGACGAAGAAGAGAATGATGTAAGCTGCTTTGGTCCCCATTGCAGAGCAGGACTGTACTTTTCCTCCTTGGGAACCACTGTTGCCCATCTCCAGGTGAGTGCTGGAGATCACTTACAATTACAACTGCTCTCCAGGAGGAGAGGAGGAGCTGAAGTCAGAGGGGCAGATAAAGGTAAGTTGATGGTTGGCTGGGAAGGAGATAGGGTTGCCAACTCCAGGTTGGGAAATTCCTGGAGTTTAGAAGGGTGGAGACTGGAGAGGGTGGGGTTTGAGGAGGGGTGGGACCTCAGACAGGTACAATGCCATAGACTCCACCCTCCAAACCAGCCATTTCCTCCTGGGGAACCATTGTTGCCAATCTCCAGGTGAGGGCTGGAGATCACTCAGAATTACAACTGCTCTCCAGGAGGGAGGAGAGAGGAGATGGAAAGCTGAAGTCAGAGGGGCAAATAAAGGTAGGTTGATAGTTGGCTGGGAAGGATATAGGGTCACCAGCTCCAGGTTGGGAAATTCCTGGAGATTTGAGGGGTGGAGACTGGAGATGGTGGAGTTGGAGGAGGGGTGGGACCTTAAATAGGTACAATGCCATAGGCTCCACCCTCCAAACCAGCCATTTCCTCCTGGGGAACCGCTTCTGCCACTCTCCAAGTGTCACTCAGACTTACAGCTGTTCTTCAGATGACAGAGATCACTCCCCCTGGAGAAAACGGTGGACTCTGTGTCATTACACACTGCTGAGGTCACCACAGCAATTTGATGCTGAGTGCCCAAGGCCAGAGCACCCGCCCAGAGCCTCTTTCTAGAGCTCATTGTATTTATTTCCACAACGGGCCTTATTCCTAGTAAAACATAATGTTCCATCTTACA